TCCGCACGACGTCCCAAGGTCCACTACCTCGTCCCACCTGACCTCCAAGCGGCACCTTAGGCGGCAGCGTGCCGACCAGGCGCTTCAGCCGTCTCTAGAAAGGTCCGGCGCCAGTCGTGCATTCTTCCGCCGGTGACTTCGGGCCGCCCAACGGAGCGCGGCTTACCTCCGTCGGGCTGCCAGCTCGAAGTGGCGCTGTGTCGTGCTGTCGGCGTCGTAACCGCCACGGTCTTTCCCTGCCGGCGTGGCTCCTCATGGTTGGCGGAGATGAGTGTGGTCTGACCTGACGGTGAGTCCTCCGTGGCGCACCCCGATCTCGAACTTGGTCACTCGAACAGTCGCATTGGGTGTCGTCCCACGCAATCAATGATCCGCTGATCATGGGAGATCGGGTAGGTCGCGCCGCCGCCGTTCTGATCACAACAGCAGCCGCCCAAACGCCGTCAGGAGGAACGGGAACCGTCCTTGCGGTGGTTCCAGTCACGGCGCTGTCGAAGAAGTCGCGTTCCAGGTTTTCCGGGGCACCGAGTCAGCGCGTAGACCTCGCAAGGTCCCACCAAGGGCTCCCCTGTTGGCCTCCGATCCGCGAGGTTCGGATGGGACGTGAGCCCGTCGTGGCCCGGCAGAGCTGAGGCCGGCTGGGCAATCGCTCCCGAACCGTGGATGTTTTCTGCCGAGGGCCTCCCGGCTTAGGATTTGGTCTTGATGGCTGATCGCACGAGAGGTGGCGCGATGCGTCGGATAGTTGCTAATCCGGAGGTTCTTGGCGGTAAGCCAATCCTGGAGGGCACTCGGCTCAGCGTCGGCCATGAGTTCTCGGCCTGCTGTGCTCCATGGCAACTCTGCAACGAGATCGTCGATTCCTACCCCGAATTGTCCGTCGACGACGTCAACATCGTCGTCCAATACGCGGCGGACGCGTTACGAATGAGTGCTTCCATCGGGTAGACCGACGGAGTTAGGCCTTGATGTACCTGCGTTCTTACAGACATGACTCGCTGATCAGTGATTCTATTTCTTCCGTGAGCGTGGTCTGGACGTGGTATCGGCTCGCGAGCAAGGATGGGGCAACCTCACTGACAGCGAGATATTATTGAGCTCCGCGACAAATAGGCCGCGTTTCGTCATCACTCACGATTCTGACTTTGGGACACTGGCGGTGCACCGTGGTGAACCGTTCACCGGAATCTTGTATCTGCGGCCTGGCGGTCGACCACCGGCTGAAGTGATTTCGGACCTGGAGGCACTGATGAAGGTGGAAGTCGACTGGACGCCACCGCTCATCGCCGTGTATCGCGCGGGCCGGTTAAGGCTACGTTACGTTGCGTGAGGCGTCGCCTACCTGAAGAGCTCCAAGACTACTCCTGCTGCCGGGACGGCCGGTCCGCGAAAGGATGCACCGATTCGCCGCCGCGCCGCTCACAGCCGGCCCCAGTGGCGGCGGAGGAACGGGACCGTCTTGCGGTGGTTCCAGGCGTGCGGGCCGTTGAAGAAGTCGCGGTCCGAGTTGCCAGAGGGCGCGCCGGAGCACGCGTAGACCGTCGGCCAGCTCCCGCGTCGCGCTGGTGCCCGCGATCGAGAAGAGAGATCTCGTCGCGGTGCGCGGCCGCAGATGATCAGCAGCACGGCTGGCGCGAACACGGCTTCGCGACCGTCCGCGCATTCTCGCCCCATCAGCATCACGGTCGGGCGGACGTGTTCAGTTTTGGTGCAGATGCATTGGTGTAGATGGAGAAGATCGAGTCCCGGAACGTGCAGTAGTAGCCGCCGATCATGGCCAGCCCGATCCGCGGCTCCAGATGGCGCAGTCGAAAGAGGCGGTCGGTGCCGTCCGCGCCCGACAGCCCGGCGACACCGATCCGCGAGCGCGGTCGACCGGCTCCTGGGTCTCCAGGAAGTCCACGAGCCGAGAGGCGTCCCAGCACCGCAGGCCGACCGGGGTCATGCCGAGCAGGAACGCGTGTTCGTCCATGGTGACGCGGTGGCAACTGTGGGTGCCCCTGTCCCGGTCCTCCGGCAGCGCGGTTTCGTTCCAGCCGCGCTGCACCGCCGCCAGCGTGATGTATCCGTGCTCGGCCAGATGGACGGCGTAGTCCAGGTCCCCCTCCCGGCTCTTGCGGCGCTGAGTCCGCATTCGCCCTCGCGGATGTAGGGAACGATGCCGCTGTGGCCGTGCAGGCAGAGATCGCGGGCGTCTGTCCCGCACCTGCTTGGGGACGAAGTAGTAGGGCGGCACCCAGTAGTGGGCCTCCGAGCGCACGTAGATCTTGCGCCGCACGACGGTCCCGAGGTCGGTGACACTCGTCCACACCGCTGACCCTCCAGGCGCACTCGCTCGGCCTGGAGTGCCGACCAGACCCCGTCAGCCGTCGCGAGAAGGCTCGGCGCCAATTTTTGTCGTCATGCCCCGCCCGGCCCCCTCTCCGAGAGACCGGGATTACCGGATCCGGAACGACGCTAGGAGTCTGTCGGATTTGACGCATCGACGGGGCCAAGGAGGGTTGGGCCGGTCTCCGGTGTGAGTAGCGAGCACATGGCGTCGACCCTGTCACAGATAGATGGGTTTGATCTACGTGATCGGCCATGTGAATGCTAAGCGACGGAGAGACCTTGAGGAAATGGACACGGAACAGGGTTCCAGGTGGACGGGGCGAGGCGATTACGTGTAAGCTGCGAGCCGTAGCATCGGCGCGCACAGAGGTCATATGTCAGCGGTATTCAGGACGATCAATCGAGACACGCCGATGCTCATGCCAGCGTCTATTCAAGAATGGCTGCCCGAACAGCATTTGGCCCGCTTCGTCGTAGAAATCGTAGACCAGCTTGATCTGAGCGAAATCACGAGCCAATACGGAGGTGGCGGCAAGCACGCCTATCATCCGGCGCTGCTGGTGGCGCTGTTGTTCTACGGCTACGCGACGGGAGTGTTCTCCAGCCGCAAGCTGGAGCAAGCGACCTACGATTCGGTGGCATTCCGTACATCAGCGCCGACCGGCATCCGGACCATGACACGATAGCGACGTTCGCAAGCGGTTTCTGGCTGAATTGGAGGGGCTGTTCAAGCAGATTCTGATGCTGGCGGCGGCGCTGGGGGTCGTGCGGCTGGGGGCGGGTGAGCCTGGACGGGAGCAAGATTCAGGGCAACGCGAGCAAGCACAAAGCGATGAGCTGGGGACATGCCAACAAGCTGGAGGAGCAGTTGCAGGGCGAGGTGCAGGCGGTTGCTTGAGCTGGCCGAGCGAGCCGACAGCGAGGCGCCCGAGCAGCAGGAGGAGTTGGACATCCCGGCAGAGCTGCAGCGGCGCCAGCAGCGGCTGGCAGCGATCCGGAAGCGAAGGCGAAGATCGAGGAGCGGGCGCAGGAGCGGCACGCGGGCGAGCAGGCGGAGTACGAACAGAAGCTGAAGCGAGCGCCAGGAGCGCGAGGCAGCGACCGGCAAGAAGCCGAGAGGGCGACCGCCACAGGAGCCGGAGGCAGGACCGAAAGACAAGGATCAGGTGAACTTCACCGACGAACAGTCGCGCATCATGCCAGGCGCGGCGGCGAGTTCGTGCAGGGCTACAACGCGCAGGCGATGGTGGAGCAGGACAGTCACTTGGTGGTGGGCACGCACGTCAGCCAAGCGACCAACGACAAGCAGGAAGTGGAGCCGGCGCTGAACGAGTTGGAGAAGGTAGAACAGGAGTTGGGCACGCCGGAGGTGCTGGTGGCGGATGCCGGGTACCACAGCAAGGAGAACGTGGAGCGGTGCGAGGCGCAGGGCATCGAGCCGTATATCGCGGGCAGCCGAGAACGCCACAACCAGGCATTGGAAGAGCGAATGCAAGCGCCGCCGGAGTGTCCTGCGGATGCGGATGCGGTGACGGCGATGAAGCATCGCTTGCAGACGGCTGCAGGGAAGGCGATCTACCGCAAGCGCAAGTCGACGGTGGAGACGGTGTTCGGGGTGATCAAGGAGGTGCTGGGATTCCGGCGCTTTCATCTGCGCGGGCTGCGCGGAGCGCGCGGCGAGTGGAATCTGGTGTGCACGGCGTGGAATCTGAAGCGGATGTATGTCCTGGCAGGGTAATCGGACACCGGTGAGATCGGACTGTGCGGCAAGAAAAGGCGCCGCACACGGCATTGGTGAGCATTTTCGGAGTCTGAACACGCAGGTTACATCTGCAGCGTCTACTTGGCGCTCTGCTGAGCGCAAAACCAGAACCCGGCCGTCTCACCGCCAGCGTCTACATCTCCAGCCCGGCCGGCATAATCCGACAGACTCCTAGGGGCGAGGGTCCCGGGTCCCCGTCGAGCTAAGGGTCATTCCAGTCGCCGTGAAACTCATGCCGTGAGAGATTGATGCTCCGGGTCGCCCTTCGGCCGGCACTCGCGAACAGCTCCACCAGCGGCGATTCGGTCGCGTGCGTAGGACCGCAACGATTCCGTCACGTCGCCGTGCGCACTGTCGGATGACGGCCCCGTGTCGTCCGCACCGACGAGCGGATCGCCTTCGGCGTCATCGCCGTTCGCCAGGTGCAGCGTGCCCGCGTCCCGTCCGGCTGAACCCGGTGGCGTCGCTGCCGAGTGCGACGGCGCCTGTAGCGACGGCTTGGGCGCCTCCGTGCAGAGTGGGAGGCAGCGCGACCACCGTCGACCCGCCGAGCGCTTCCGGGCGGGAGTTCCGGGGACGGTGGTGGTGCCGGAGGCGCTACGGGATCGGTGTACCGGTGGTGCGCGTCGAACGCTGTGCTACGGATTCGGCGCGATGACGGTAGCGATTCCGCACATCAGCAGTGTGATCGGAGAGCGAGGAGCCACGCCATGCCGCCGCTCGGAAAACGGGCAGCATGACGTGGGCGAAAGCACGGGCACAATCGATGCGTTCGGCTTCGCTTGTGCCCCCGGTTCGCAACCTCGCCGCGACTCTGTCGGAGCTGCCGCTTGCGCGGCAGCTCCGAACCTTCAATGCGGGCTCAGTTGACCGGGAGCGGTCTCAGGCCCGGATTCGCCTGGTAGTACTCGTTGGTCTTGTCTATGTAGATGCCTCCTCCCATCTTGCGGAACTCGGCGTATATCTCCCTGCCGCGGGCGATCTTCTCTTCGACGTCCATGTCCCTGTCCATCAGCACGCCGTCGAAGAATTCGCTGGTGATGAACGCGAAGGAGTCCGCGACCTTCTGCTGCTCCTCCGGGGTGTAGACGAACCGCGCGAACACGTACGGCTCGATGGTGGCGTTCTGCGAGTTGAGGGAATCGAACAGGTCGTTGATCTCGTTGCCCGCGAACGTCCCACCGGTGCCCTCGTACTGTCGATCATAATTCCCGAGCAGCCACCGGTGCTCGAAGCCCATGAGCTGGTACGGATCCAGGATGGTATCGGTCTTTTCCGAGGCCGGAATGTCGAGACTCAATGCCCGTCGGCCGTCTCCGAGATCTCGAAGGTGAGGCCTTGCGAGTCCGTGGCGTGTGCCAGAGCTGTGGTAGTCGCAGCTCATCCTGGAAATCAGTTGATGAACTGCAGGTACTTTTCGAGCTGCTCCTGCGTGTTCCGCTTGGTGAAGAACAGTCCCCTGAATCCGGCGCTCCAGATAGGTTGTTTCTTCGAAGCCACACCGTAGACCAGGATCTTGGTTTCGTTGGCCGGATCTTCGTTGATCCATTCCTTGTAGGTCGGGTTGCCTCCGTACCAGCCCTGGCCGTCTCTCCCCAGAATGGTACCGTTGATGAAACCCCGGTCCCGCTCCGTTCCCGCGGGCTCGGCGAGGCTGTGCCAGTAGTATCCCTTCTTCAGGAACTTGTCGAACAGCCTGACCGAGTCCTCGTAGTACTCGGAATCGACCCAATCCTTCCAGATCCCCTCCTCCTGGTCAAAATAGTTCACGTATCCTTGGGGGTTCCAGTTCGACATGGAGATATTGTCTTCGAAGGCGCACAGGAAGGTCTTGAAGGTATGGTACCACATGATGCCCATGCCGCCGGGCACTTCGCGGTTGAACGCCTCTCCCAACTGCTCCAGGTGATCGAACGTCAGGTCGAACCTGCCCTCCGGCAGCGGCGGCAGCTCGACTCCCAGCTTGTCGACCAGGTCCTGGTTGAACAGGTAGATCAGCCCCCGCATGCGGACCAGGTGGGGAAGGCCGGCAAGGTTGCCGTCCTTGTCGCTGAACGTCTCCAGCAGCAGCGGATTGTAGTCATTCACCAGCTCCAGGTAGTCCGGCGCATGCTCTTCCACGAGACCTTCCACCGGGATCCACATCGGCGCCCACTCGGTGGCGCCGCCCATTTCACCCGTGCCCTGGACGATGTGGATCGGGTCGCCGCCGGCGGCGGACAACTGGATCAACTGATTGACGGCCATACCCGATTGGCTCAGGTCGGTCACGTCGATCGTGAATCCCAGCTCGGCCGCCATCTTCTCATCGAGAGCGTCCTTGACCTCATCGTAATGCTTGAGCTCGCTGCGCTCTATAGCCTGTGGCGCGGGGCCTATGATTACGTATTCGTAGTGCGGGACCGTGCCTGCTCCTTCCTCCTCGCCCTCTGCCGAGGCGAACAGAAGCGTGCTGGCAAGACAGGCCAGCACCCCGCGATATCGTCGCGTTCTTGTTCATCGGTTCAACTCCTTGTCATCGACGCTCCGCATCGATGAAGTCGATTCGCTCCGTTCCAAAGAATCTTTCGACGCCCGCCCGCCACCCCCTCTCCTTCAAGCTACCATGTGCATGCTCCTCACCCCCTGTGTACGGGTTTCGGTAACGAGTCCCGAGCATCCATCGTTCACCCCTTCACGGCGCCGATCAGGATGCCTTTTGCGAAGTGTTTCTGCAGAAACGGGTAAAGACACAGGACGGGAACGGTGGCGATGAACAGGGCCGCCATCTTGAATCCCTCGGACGGCGCGTCCGACATGTCGACGCTCTTCCCCAGTTGCTCGGCGAAGTCACCGCTGTAGACCTCGATCATGCTCTGCAACAGGCGCATGACCACCATCTTCTTGCGAGACGGTACGAACAACACGGCTTCCATGTACGTGTTCCAGAACATCACCGCGCTGAACAGCGCGATGGTCGCCATGATCGGCAGGGCCAGGGGCATGACGATGCGTATGAGTATCTGGAACGTGCTGGCGCCATCGAGCTTCGCGGACTCCTCGATCGCCTCCGGAAGCGCCATGATGAAGTAGTTCTTGATCAACAGGTAGTTGAAGACGGCAGCGGTCGGTATGATCAGCGCCCAGTAGGTGTTGATGAGGCCCATGCGTTGCAATACGAAGAACTTTGGTATCAAGCCCCCGGCGAAGAAGCCGGAAAGGTAGAGGAATATCAAGACTAGTTTTCTGCCGGGGACATCCCTCTTGGAGAACGCATAACCGGTCATCGTGCTCAGGAATACCGTGATGCTCGTGCCCATCACGGTGAGGACCAGCGTGTTGGTCAGTGCCCGCCGGAACAGCGTGGCGTCCACCAGCAGCGAGCGATAGGCAGCGAACGTCACATCGTTCGGTATCAGCCGCGCGCCTTCGAGATAGAAGGCCTGCGACGTCGTGATCGACACGGAGATCACGTACAGGAAGGGCATGATGCAGGTCAGCGACAGCAGGATGATCGCGCCGTTGGATACGATGGAGAAAGAGCTTGGCGAAGGCGGTCTCTCTCACCACAGCACCTCATACCCGATCTTGCCGACCAGGTAGTTCGCGAACAACGACAGGACGATCCCGAACATCGTCTGGAACAGACCCATGGCGGTAGCCATCCCGTAGTTTCCCCTGAGCAGGCCCCAATCGTAAATCCAGGTCTCGAAGACCTGGACGTTGGGCATGTTGCGGCCCAGCAGCAGGATCTGCGTGAGGTTCTCCATAAAGATCGTCGTAATCGCGAACACGAACGAAATGGCTATGACCGGGAAGATCGCGGGGACGGATATGTGCCACATCTGCGTGAGCTTGCCGGCGCCGTCGACGATCGCGTTTTCGTAGAGGCCCGGGTCGACGGCGGACAATGCGGCGAGGTAGATGATCGTGCTCCAGCCCATGGTCTTCCAGATGCCGCTGGAGATGAGCACGACGCGGATCCATTCCCGCTTCCAGGTGACGTCGTCGTAGGGGAGGCCGACGGCGCCGAACAGCCGGCTCAGAACGCCGGAGTGTTCGTTGAAAACCATGTAGAGGAGGGTGGCTATGATCACCCAGTTGAGGAAATGCGGAAGGTAGAGCACCGATTGCGCCGCGCCCTTCAGCGCCTTGTTGCGCATGTCGTTGAGCAACAGTGCCAGGAGGATGACGACGGGGAACCCGAAGAGCAGCCGGAAGAAGGTGATCTCGACGGTATTTCGCATCAGGCGAAAGAACCGAGGCGTGCGGAACAGCACGCGGAAGTACTCCCATCCGATGTAAGGACTGTTGAGGCCGTCCTGGAAATTGAAGTCGAGCCACGCTATCTTCAGGCCGTAGGTGGTGAACAGGTTGAACGCGATCACCGTCAGAACGGCGGGCAGATACATCAGGTAGATCTGCCGGTGCATGGCGATGCGGTGCCTGGTGGATTTGTCGAGATGGAGCATGCGGCGCATCGTGCTCGATCGATCCCGGACGGACGCGAGAAGCGGGGTCGGATCGGAGCGTGATGGTCTCATCTACCCGGCTTTCGATGCAGCGGCGGCGGTCGTTGGGCCGGGTGCCGCCTCCGTAGACGCCGAAGAGGCGTTACGAGGTCTGACGGCGCGACGAGTGCCCGATCGCATGATCGGGGCGGCGCCCTGGGGTGCGGCCGGGACGATCGACTCTCGCGGCATGCTGCTACTCCTCGCGAAACACGTCAGCCTACGGTGAATGTCAAATTCTCCATGCATTGACCCGGCACCGCAAGCGCCCGGTCGCGGGGTGGTGCCGGTCGGTAGGGACAGTGCGACACCGAGACTGCCTCGCGCGACGGAGGGGTCCGGGACGGCAGATCTCATCGGTGCGGCATCCGATCGGCGGCCGGAGCGAGGGGCCGGCCGCCGCGGTGTGACAGAAGCCCTGCGGGCTGGGTAAGCTGGCGGTCGAGATCCGCCGCAAGGAGTTCTCCATGCTGTTACGCGCAGCTCGCAGTCAGCGGCCCGACGATCGCCCGATGCCGCGTTGGCCGCCGCCGGCCGCGTTCCGATTCAGGAGATCGTCATGAAGCTCTATCGAGCTGCTGAAGCGATGAGCCTGAAGGGGACCGGGATCGATTACATCCGCAAGGACATTCGAACCTCGAGCTTCCCGAATACCGGGGAGCGTCGTACGAAGCCCTGGTCCCGGACACCCTGGACATCCAGGAGCGCGCCCTCCTGGGGATAAACGGAACCACCTCTCCCACGGATCCCGAGCGGGACTACGAGCTGTACTGGCTGGTCTCGTTCTACCGGAACCCGCCCGGGATGTACCACCAGATCCACGACCACGTGCAGTCCAAGTTCCTGGAGAGCGTGCCCCTGCTGCGAACCATGACCGGGTCGCACCACAACATCCACGTGGATCGGCGCTGGTTCGAGGTGCTCCTCCACTGGCAGGGGCCTGATGGCTGTTTCTACGAACCGGTCGACCGCAAGCGGCCCTGGAGCGACACCACCTTCTTCGATTTCTATCCCACCAGCGACCTCGGGCATTACGCGATTCCCAACGTCTGCTCGGTGCGCATGGCCGCTGCGGCACTGCTGCACAAGCTGACCGGCGACGAAGGCTGGAAGGAATCATCTCTGCGCGCGGCGAACGGGCTGCTGCGCCGGTGCCTCCCCTGTGAAGATCACCTCTACCTTCCGGAAATCGTCTTTGGGCCCCACACGCCCGTCGACCCCACCGCTCCCAAGATAGCCGCCACGCCGAACGTGGACGTCAGCTCCAGCCACGTGGTGGACAATGCCCAACTCGCCTGCAACGAGGGGTGGACCGGACAGGCTCTCGTGCAGGTGTACCGGACGCTCGGCTGCGAAGAGGCGCTGGACGTCGCGGGGAAGCTGCTGAAGGGCTCCGCGTTTCACAGCGTGGCCTTCGATTCCGACACCGCCGAGTTCATCAACTCCCCGCACTTCCACGCCCACACGCGCGTGCTGCTGGGAATGACCGAGTACGCGATGGAGACCGGCGACGCCGAGTTCTGGGACTTCATCGGTCGGGGCTACGCCTGGGGCAAGCGGTACGGCGAGCCGCTGGTCGGGTTTTTTCCGGAGTGGGTCAGGGCGAACAAGCGCTGCTCCTGCGAGCTCTGCGGACTTGCGGAGATGATCGCCTTGGCCATCAAGATCAGTCAGGCCGGACGTGACGACCTGTGGGACGACGCCGACCGCTGGATACGCAATCACTTTGCCGAAGGTCAACTCACCGAGATCTCCTGGATCGACCGCAGGATCCATCGTCGCCCCGGCATCGCGCCGCAGCCGCCCGAGACCGAATGGCCGGACGCCGAGCACAGGGTGGCCGAGAGGCACGTCGGCGCTTTTGGGGGCTGGCTCTCGGGCAACGAGTGGGGCAACAACATCATGCACTGCTGCACCGGCAACTCGACCCGCGCCCTCTACTACATCTGGAACGGCATCTGTGATGTCCAGGACGATCGCCTGCAGGTGAACCTGCTGATGAACCGCTCTTCCCGGTGGGCCGACATCGACAGCCATGTCCCCTACAAGGGGCAGGTCGACGTGAAGGTGAAGCGCCCCCTCGAACGCTGCTCGGTGAGGATTCCCGAAGGGGTGAGAGCGGAGGACACCCTGTACCTGCTCGACGGCGAACGGCGAATCCCGCAGTGGGATGGACGTTATTGCCATGCCGGTCGGGTGACATCCGGACAGACGATCTCCGTGTGCTTTCCTCTGGATACCAGACAAGAGCTCGCGTACATCGAGAAGGTCCCGCACACGTACACCCTGAAAGGGACGACCGCAATCGACGTCGATCCTCCGGGGAGGGACGGAGCGATCTATCGCCGAGAGCACTATCGGCAGGACGAGACGCGCTGGAAGAAGGTCACTCGTTTCGTTCCGGAACAGGAGTTCAGGTGGTGATGTCGGTACCTGAGGGAGCCTCCAGCGAGACGACGCCCATACGGTACGTGCGCGGCGACATTCCCGACTCTCGCGTGCCGTCGTACTGGGGTGACCGCTACCACACCGAGACTCCGATGCGCTCGATCTGCAGGATCGCGCGGCGCTGTGGCATCAACTGCCTGACCGAAGTCACCGAGCCCGACTACCCGTGGTGCCAAAGGCGTTCCGTGATCGGTTCAATCTGGTCCCGGGCACGGAGCTGGAGGTCGAAGCCTCAGGCGACGGCGTGACCCTCCGTAGAGTGGGCGCCGAGCCGTCGCTGATTCGCAAGAAGGGCATCTTGCCGGCATCGACGTGGCGCCCTGACGAGCGCTGATTGCTGGGGGGGCGGCGCTCCCACTACGATGCGGCCATGGGAGATCCCCGTCTGACGCGATTGAGCGAGCACCTGTATCGTTTCGCAGATACTTGTAGCATATATATTATTGTAGACAGTGACGAGGCGCTGCTGATCGACGCCGGCTCCGGCGCCGTCGCCGGGGCTCTGGCAGAGACGGGAGCGGCGGGCATCGAGTGGGTCCTGCACACCCATCACCACCGGGATCAGTGTGCGGGCACGCCGGCCTTGGCTGCCGCGGGCGCCATGGTTGCGGTTCCCGAGCATGAGCGCCACCTGTTCGAAGAGGCCGAGCTGTTCTGGCGGACGCGCCGGGTGTATGATAATTACGACGACCGCAATACCTTCTTCACGGCGGCGCGCGCGACGTCGCCGTCGATGCCGTCCTGGAGGACTACGAGACCTTCACGTGGCGCGGCTACCGTTTCGAGGTCGTGCCGGCCAAGGGTCACACGCGGGGCTCTTCGATGCTGATCGCCACGATCGACGGGCAGCGGGTGGCGTTCACGGGCGACCTGATGAGCGCCGGCGGCAGGCTGTACCAGCTTCATGCCATGGAGTACGCCTACGGCGGGATGGAGGGGATCGCGTTCACCATCGAGTCGATCGATGCGCTGGCCCGGCTAGGCGTGCAGACCGCCTATCCCTCGCATGGGGATGAGATCTCCGACGTCGCCGGCGATATCGCGCGGCTGCGCCGCCGGCTGGCCGACTGCGTCGCTTTGGGCAACGCCGTGCGCGTGGCCGGAGCGAAGATGGATCTGCCGGCCTCCCACTTCCTGCCCGACAGCAGGCTGCAGCCCCTGTCCCGCCACCTGCTGTGGGGCGGGCCGTGGACCTGCAGCAACTTCTACGTGGTCCTCAGCGATTCGGGCAAGGCGATGTTCGTCGACTACGGCCACTCGCTGGCCACCCACATGCACGTGGGCGCAGAGCAGCACGGCCAGGAGTCGATGCGCTTCGTTGCCCACCACCTGGAGGAGTTGCGCGAGGATTACGGCGTGACCGGGTTCGATCTGGTGGTGCCCACCCACATCCACGACGATCACACCTGCGGCATTCCCTATCTGCAGCGCCATCACGGCACCCGCTGCTGGGCGCTGGGCGAGGTCGCGCAGGTGCTCGAGGACCCGGCCGCCTGGGCCAGTACGCCGTGCACGCACCCGCGGCCGAT